AGAGCAAATACGAAAAGACCAAGACTGAATTAAGAAATTTGAAAGGTTCGCGTAGTAAAACAAGGCTTTTTTTTTTTAATATTTACGTGTTACCATTACAAAACTCTGACATGAATTTGTTCCACTTAGCAACCTCGTCTTTCTTCAAAGAAGCACCCAAGGTAGATGTTGTCAAGGACAATTCTCTAGCTCCGACACCGGACGGTGCAATCAACGAATCTAAAATCGTTTCCTACCAAGTGGCAATTGATGATCTGTTGAGAGCCGGAAGGTAAGTTTTTAATTTGATTGGGTGGTCACATTGTATTAACCTTTCTTCATGTTCACAGATCCGATGTGTCAGCCGACGTTCTTATTGCCATGAAATCAATAGTCATTGCCTGTAAAGGCATAACCGAAGATGTTGATGCACATGAACAAATCAAGGCGTCCTTGATGAAAGCCGAAGATAGAGATAAAATTCAGGCTCTGAAGAATAAGCTTTCAGCCACCCTCACAAACCTCATGACGGCTGCAAAAAATCACGCAACCGGCTACGGTATATCTCCCGTTAGTCTGTTGGATGCAGCGGCAAGTCATCTGACAGCGTCGGTTGTAGATCTAGTCAAACTCGTGAAGCTTAGACGCACCGGAGGACGCGATATAAATAAAAATGAACCCCCCTTGCCCGCCAAATTATCTCCTGACTACTTGCCCACCTCACCTCCTGACTCCTCATCTATCTCACCTCCCGGAACAAATGCTTCCGACTCTAAGGCCGTAGAGAACACCAACGGACGTGAAGGCGTTGATATAGACGAATTAAAAGTATGCATCTATTCTCCTTTTTCTTTCCTTCTTTCTTTTTTTTTTTTTATGATCTATATTCAAAAAAAAAATTCATTCCTAGGATTTTCTTGAACGTCAAACCGAGGCCATCGTTCAAGCTATTCAAACTCTTTTAGCGGCACTTCGAAATCAATCGTACGGGAAAGAACTTACTGATAATATCAATACGATCACCACGATAGTTTTGAATGTCATCGCTGTATGTCGTGACTCCTTTGGTTCTACATCAGGTGCCCCCTATCGTGCACGTGGTGAGACGGTCTTGAAAGAGTTAGAGAATAGTGTTGAAAAATTGGAAGAAATGCGTGAAACAATAACAAATGATAGTGAGGACTTTTTATCCAACAAAGCTTCCAAACAGCGGTTGGCAAGCGCTTCTTTTGAAATTGCTAAATTCACAAAAGAACTGGTTGGTCTAGTCGAATAGAATTCCCAAGTATATTTATGGTTTATTTATTTATTTCTACTTTTTACCACCTCAACCCATCAATAATTCCAAAATTGTATCAAAAAAAATTTTTTTTTTAAAAAAATGCATTTTATTTTAATATATCTTATTCTAGATTTTGTAGTAGTAGCTTCACTGTCATCAACTTTTACTGGTGTATGTATATATTTATTCTTCTATAGCCTAGCTAGCATTACACAAAGTGTAAATAGGGTTTTGCTCAACCCGCCCGATGATAAAAAAATCATATAGACATCATTTCGGAATATTAATGGCGTATATTTTTTTCGAAGCTTTACTCAGTAATAAAAAAAAGATACTTCATCGTTTATTGTTTATCTTATTCTATTAAAATAATAACAATCACTAAAAAATAAAAAGTAGATTAAAATACTGGCATGTACGATCTAAAAGTGATTTTGAACAATTCATTTGTATTAAACTATTGCGTTTTTAATGAAAATATAATTTGAAAATTTATGTTTCGGGAATACATTGAATTATCAAAAGAAATCTTTGTAATCCATTAAGCAACCATTGGCAATTTTATTTTTGGTACAACATATACTTGTAGTGGAGGCAGTACCTCCAACCTTTTTCAAACATCTTGAAAAAAACCATTCGACAAAAATAAATCCATATTCTAACAAATCTTTACTCAAAAAATTTTATTATGTTTTTTACTATATGGTAGATATATGAATCTGAAAAAAATAAAAAAAAAAAGTTTATCTGATATTGATATTCTGATAAATGATACTTAGCTATTTTTGAATGTCAAATATTGAGAAATTTGTTTAAGATTTTTGTTAAAGTTTGAAAGTGAAGGATAGTTTCTTGTTAGCTTGCCCTTTTTTCTAAAAAAATTAACAAAAAAAAAATTTAGAGAAAAGGTTGATTAATGGAGAATTGACTCAATAAACTATTTAATTATTCCTTATATATTAAATAAGTATTATATATACTGTATATGTACAGTATATCAACTATCTAAGTAATCTATCTATATAAACTAATTATATTGATTATATTTTATATAATATAAGTATTGTCTTTTCAAAAAATTGTATAATTTTTTCTTGGATTTTTTTCAATATATTTTTATTAAGAATAGGCTAATTATCAAACCATCAAATATAATGATTCAGATTGAGATTTTAATTCTTAAAGTGATCACAAATTTCTTTTTCTATCAAGACTTCCTAATAATGCAGACTATAAAAATTATAAAATAGTTTAGTGCTTAAAAGTCAAAGATATTCTATTGATTAATTGTTATACTCTTCTTATTATTTTTTTTAACTTATCATTGAAGATAATATGATTAAGTTAGAATAATTCTAATTAATTTTGAATCATTATTTAAATCACAATCATTATATAAATTATACTACTGATTATTAGCAAATTTTATAATTTGATCTATAGAATATTACTATATTATTAATTTATAAGTCTTAAATATATTTGTTTTTAAATTGTAACAGATAAATTTTAAAATATTTATTTTATTTTTATATTATAATTAATTTATTTATATAATTTGTAACTTTAATTTAATATTATAAAAAACTAAATACAGCTTACAAGTTATAAAAATAAAAAACTTAAAAATTAATTTTAGATATAAAAACCAATAAAATTTAATATATGGAATAATTGTTTATATTATATAATTAAAATCAATAAGTTTGATATATTTTTATTTTATATTTTTTATATTTAAGTAATTAAATGTATTACAATAACTAGATAAGAACTAATACAATATATATTTATTAATAATAATTAAAAAATACTTGAATAAGTTATAGACTTTCTTAAATATTTTAAAACAACAATAGAAATAATTCTAGCTTCAAGTGATTCAATACTTTTTTGATAATACTTTTATATAATTTGTTAATAAATTATTTAAAA